TTACTTTTACTATAAGTAGTTAGATTTTTATTTGGTTAATCCAAGGAAAAATTCCTCTTAGGTATGTGAAATCGACTCTTTTTCATTTTTTCTCGTAGTGTAAAGTGTTCGGTTTGATTAGGTTGAGTGTGGGCATGGGTGTGAACTTTTGATACACCGTAGGCTTGTCACGGGGTATACTTTTGTCCACCACATTTGTATTAGTCCCTCACTTTCTACGAATCAATCAAACACCGAGACACCATTTGGTTGAATGAATTGAGTTGATTTGACATTTCCATTGGAATGACCTCTATGGATTCGCCAACTTTACTTTATTGCATATTTGTCAAAATTCAACTAATCAAAACATAATTCACAAGACTTTTCAATTTTTATTTTTTTACAAATCACTCTTTAATGCATTTGACATTTCCTTTCTTAAAGGGACGACCCTAGAATATCCATTCTAAGTAAAACATGACATTGCAAGTCTCTTTACGATTGAAGAACACTTTTGCATACACACACACACATTTTTTTGTTCATCCGCACAATTTTTCCCATTTCTTGCATGGAACCCAAGGGAGAGTGACACTCACCAACTTCTATAAGCCATATATACATAATCCAGGTTCGTGTTTGGAAATTAGGGAAAACAAATCAAGCATTTTTGGGGCCGTTGTTAGGAAAGGCTAAGTGTTGAATTCGAAGGTGATTTTTGAACAATGGAGGTAAGTTTCATGATTCTCATCACGGGCCGAGGTACATTGTTCCTTTGTATATACTTGCGTATTTTCTTTCTTTCAATTGTAAGTAGTGTTTTTGCATGTGGGGACATAACGATCAAAAAATAGACTAGTAAGACGTGCCGTATGACCAAATATGAATATAGACCAAGAGCCATCTGAAGATGCCGGAGACAATTTCGGGGATGATGGTGCCTATATTTTGAGGGACGGGGGAATGCAAAACTTTCGTGTGCCAAACCCCCAAATGCAATTCCCCCTCTAAGAAATGAATGAAATAATCTCCCTATGGACCCTCCGGCGAGGTCAATGATTGTACTAGTCATGTGGCATGGCTGCTGAAATATGTGGCCTCCCATGGTTGAAAATGCTTGCATAGCTCATAAATACATTTCTTTACTTACCCCCCAAAGAAACATTTTTGAAATGGGATTGAAGTTGGATTAAGAAAACTTAGGGGGATTAATGATACGGCAGAACAACAATGAAGGTCAGAGTTGGGTAGGTTTTGCGATGGGTCGTATCTTGTTTAGGTCAAGTCATTTCAAAATTTGCTTAACCCATCACACTTGTACCCTTGTATAGTAAGATTGATGTCATACGTATTGAGTTCGTGCAGTGTATAAATAGTGTTTAGTCATTTCATGTCGTATTTAGTCAGGTCCACGTCACCCCATTTATTTGATAGGTCTAATGAGTCTAGGAGTTTACTATTCAAAATTTAAACTCTCTAATTTCATATGCATTTCTTTTCGAGTTCGTAAATTGTGTCAAAAATTATGAGGTTTGAATGTGAAGTCAAAACTCTTGAATTGACTGAAAAACAGAAATAAATGCAAGAAAGTTTAAGGCTAAAACTCAAAGAATCCTTTTGAGGGAGACCAAGACCAAGTTAATTAATGCCGAGGCCTAGGTCATGGTCAAGATTAAATTACATGTTTATTTCGCCCACAAGCAAAAGACAACTGGTACGCATTCAATTCAGTGTTTGCATGCAATAAAAATACAGAAAAAAGGAAAATCACACTGTCTTCTTGCAATCCAATGCCTTGAAATATCTAGAACTATTCGAGTTTGGTAGTATATGAGACAAATGATCAGTCAAGTTGCCTGAAAAATAATAAGAGGTGTTATCTAAAATTCCAAGCTCGGACTGAAAATACAACAAAATAAAAAGATTCCAATGTTAAACTCAACAACCACATATTTTGACTTGACTTATGTAAAAAACATATTTTATCTTGGTAGGCAATGACTCAAGACTACCTATACTTTCGGTCATATTATGGTGATGCGATCTCACGCAGTTTGGTAAAATGTGTTCGTGCGGAGTGCTCAAAAAATTTGAGCTTTAAACTGTCTAGGAGTGTTGTCTCTATTTTATAGGTAAGAAATATAGTCTTTCGTCTTTCTATCCGATACTTTGTGGAAGAATTTTTTCTTGACATACTTTATCCAATTAGGTGTGGTATTCCTACCCGAATAATCGGATAGGAAGTCGGGTAAACACTTTTGTAGCTATTAATTTTTTGGATCATTTTAACAATTCAATTAAATAACATGCACCAATATAACAACACAATAAATCAATAACACTAAAACTTAAAATAACTACAACAACAATTACAATAAAACACAAAAAAACATGAACATCAATCCATTAAAATTGTTACAAAAATATAGTAACAATTATTTTAAGTTTAAACCATATGAAACACATTAAAATCATAACTGTTTCAATATATCACTAGTTTATCAGAAATCATGTAATCTACACAAAAAATAAGTCCATATTTTAACAACTCAAACATTCATAACAATGACAATGTTATAATATAAATTATATCACACAAATACTCTTATAATTACTAAAAAAAATATAAAAAGTTAAATATGTTTTTTACGGTTAGGGTAGGATAGAAATGCGAAAATTGATGGATATTTCGCATTTCGACCCGATTTATTCGGAAGACCAAAAACTCTTCCGTATTCTTACCCAATTTTGCGACTAGCTGTTCAGTAAGGTAGGATAGGATAGAAAATTACGGCCAATCAAAAAATTAAACACCTCTAAAACTGTCGTTGAATAACATGTTTTAAAATTGTGCGGGTCTACAACAAAGTAGACAATCTTACATAATTGAGGTTACCGACATTACATATGATCCTTAAGCCTTTGACCCTTGTCGTGTGCACGCCACATAGTTTGTGTATCCCTCAGTATACCACGATCTAGTGGGATGATAGCTTGAGACTATGGTAGCTAGTTAGTGTGGTGGAAATCATTGTCGAGAATCCCNTCTTTGACCCTTGTCGTGTGTTTGTGTATCCCTCAGTATACCACGATCTAGTGGGATGATAGCTTGAGACTATGGTAGCTAGTTAGTGTGGTGGAAATCATTGTCGAGAATCCCATGCCCCAAACGAAGATATTTGGGGGGAACGAGAAAAAATTACAGTGACTCATTTTAGATTGTTCATTAAAATGTGTGAAGTACTTGACAAATGCTTTAAAAGTTGTGGGGTCTAGTTCAAATCAAATAATGTTGTACATTTGAGTATGGAGACGTAATATGGATCAAAAGCACTTCTACATACATGCACCACGAGACTGATATTTGAACCAGGCAACAGTTCCTAATCAGCTCTCAATGGACATTGACTCAAGTCAAATGAATTGTTTAAGTGATTGTTGGGGCTTGGAATTCAACTCCATGCCAATGGGAAGTTCCCACCTCACTGGGTTAGTCGTTATCTTGATGCTGCGTGGAAGCTGCATCAAACTAGAGGAGAAATTTTTGAATCCGTTCAATCCTTCCAATACACGGCAACAAAATAAAAAAGTAAAAGAAAGGGTAAAATATATTTTTTTTCAGAGACTATGTATTTTTTATTAGTTTGGTCTCTAATTTTTTAATTATATCAATTTCTTCCTTAAGTATAAAATTTGGGTCGCTTTGGTACTATAAAAAACTGCAAGTCAAACTAATTAACAGAGATGATTACATGTATGTTATGTGACCACAGTTGAGAACATTCTCAGATTAATTTTACTTTGCACCCCAAAAGATGTTTAAATTCTTAATTTGCACAATAAAAGAGTTTAATTTCCAAATTGCACCCTTAATTTCATACAAGATGCAATGCGTCTAGACTCAAGCACTTTAAGGTTAGCAATGGACACTTGCCATGTTATTTGGATTTGTCTTGAATATGAGACAAACCTAATTTTATTTATTTCATTAGCAGTGTTAGATATTCGGATACCGTTTGATTTATTATCAACCACGCCCAATTTGGAGTGACACATTTAACCTGTAAACTAGAAATTAAAGAAGAAAATCCATTTTTAATCTATCTTTGGAAAGCGGTTTTTTTTTTTTTTTTTTTAAGGTTATTCTTGATTGAATCTAATGCTCTCAATCGAACCCATCACTCATAAGCTCCCAAAAATCTAAGAATCAACATCATTTCTATAAGCAAAAACAAGTGAAAATTGCTTTAATTCTACCAAAATTCACACGGTATATCTTCAAGAAATGAAAACAAAAATTGGTAATATTTAAATAATATACCAATTAAACGAATTGGTCAAGTTAAAATCGGAGTGTTCAATTTTGATATTAACGCAACCCATTTATTGTTAGTATTAGTGAATCTTCTCATTTTTGGGTTTACGAGTTTAACATTGGAGAAAATTTTTAAATTTTTTTATCCAAATTTAAATTTGAATTTAAAAAAGAGTAATGATCGGAAATACTCTAATCTTAAGGGTATCTCCAACCCTTACTCAAATTTAAAATTGAGTAAAAAAGTCTAAAAAACGTTTTTCAATCCTTGACAAAGAGTTATACCAAATTAAGGGAAACTTATTTTTTACTCAAATTAAGGGAGACTCAAATATTTAATTGTGAGATTTCACCATCTTTTAAAGACCTAATGGTCATCCTTACTCCCTTTTAAATTTGAGTTTGCCCTCATTTAAATTTGGGTCTCTTTTTTTTTAAATTTGAGTTTGTCAATTGAAGTCTTTTATATCAAATTAAATTTTTTACTCAAATATTAATTTAAATTTGAATAAAAATTTGAGTTTTATGGGAGATGATCATTGAATATGGCCGGCCAATCAAATCCAACAAATTAAATTAAATAATTGACTAATGTGGTTATACACTTAGGCAAGGATACGAACAACGTTGTATCATAAAGACCTGTCGCATTTCTATATAAAGGAAAGACTGCCGGCTCTTCTTAGGTAAGCAGCTTAACAAAATGGATATATATCATCCTCTCTTCTCCTCTCTTATCTCATTCGCTTTCTTTTTAATTTCACACCAAACAACAGCCGGTGGAGGTTTGGAAACGACAGATATAAGCTCCGTCAGGGGCACCATAGGTGCCATTGTGGATTACGGGTCTCGCGTGGGAAAAGAAGAGAAAGTAGCAATGGAAATGGCTATCAATGATTTCAACGACCACACCAATCAAAGATTGATTCTCCGAGTAAACAACTCACAAGGGGATCCCTTCCAAGCAGCTCTGACTGGTATTCATATATATATATATATATATATAATTTGTTTTACTGAGTCGTAGTTTTACCAGTAAACAATGGCAAACTACTGAAAAATGGGATGTAAAATGATCTAATTTGAGAACCTAAATAAGGATTTAATTTAAGGTTAATCTTAACTTGCATTCCGAAATATCATTCAAATTTTAATTTGTATTTTCAAAGTTTAAAAACTTTAATTTATACTCTGAAAGACATAAATTTGTATTAATGTGTACGTAGGACTAACACCATCCATTTTTCCATTACAAAAGTTCGGGCTAATTATAAATCATATTCTCAAAGTTTAAATATTTCATATTTATGATCCAAAAAGAATTTCATTCATTAATTCTCGTTATCATAACATTTTCGTGTCGTTTTTTAGTCAATAAAAAAATATTTTTCACACGATTCTATTTGTTCTTATAGCCTGAGCTGCTACACAGCTCGGTGACATTTGCCTTATTCGACTGAACACGTTTAATCGGTTACGGCACAGTAGTTTCCGAACGTGATGTTATGTGCTCGGTTGAGTCTGCTTGACCGACATTCTGAGTAAATTATATTCTAGCAACGTGATCTTCTTCATTAAAAATATTTCAAATCATTAAATGTTTAATCATGTGTAGTAATTTTGGGCTCCTTCAATTATGAGTGAAAAGTTTATTAAGGATTAATTCTACTACCCCCAAAAAGAGAAATGGTCCCAAAAACGTGAACACAAAAAAAAAAAAAAAATAGACATCTGATAGAGAAATAGAGAGATCAGGGACATGTTTGGTTTGTGATCAGAAATAATTTTTTGTTTTCAAAATTTTAAAAACACCAAAAATCTGTTTGTTTAACATTTTTGTTCTCAAAATTTTGGAAAAAAAAAAAATGAGATTTTAGTCAAAAAAACATAAAATAAATGTAGCTTGTTTTATGAGTTTTTAGAGTTTTCTTTGAAAATTTTGGAAATAAAAAGAGTAATTTTGGACTTTAATGAGGTTTGCCTTTCGAGTCCCTTTAACAGCAAGTTTCTTAATTCTTTTTTTTTCCTCTCTCTCTCTCTCTCTCTCTCTCTCTCTCTCTCTCCTCTTCTTCAGATTTGAAAACGTTGGAGCATCGAAGCACAAATCTCATATCTGAAGTCGCTGGATCTTCAGATATGGGTACACACACACACACACACACATATATATATTATAGTTTGGTTTATTGAATTTTCTTTTTTTTTTATGAAATTTTTAATCTAAAAATAACTTTCTTATATTTTTTTATTAATGTTTGAATTACTGTTCAAACATATATTTACGCTGTCCAAATATGTTTTACTATTTTTTGTATTGTAAAATTATTTTTGAAATTATTTAACAAAATAAGTTTTTTATCTCAAAAAATATCAAAACTATTTTCTTAAAACTCTTCTCAAAAATTATTTTTGAATACTATTTTTTGAAACGCAAATTAAACGTGTAGAGGTTTTTGAAGAATTTCATTGATGGCAAGGCATGCCCAGTTAGATCAATAAAACAGAAAATAGTGGACCCCACTAGATTACAATAAGAAGAAATTATTGCAAATACATTTTATTCCTAAATCCCATGCCAGACAATGGGTTTGTTAACAGTACTGTATATTAAGTCTATATCCCACAGCAATGCTGCATATATAATGCCACAGCAACGCTGCATATATGATGCCAAAGCAATACCATCGGTTTATCAAAATCACGACTAGCAATTTTGGAGTAGTTTAAGTAATAACAATAAAGAGTTATAAATTCATACATCATGAGTTTGATTTTTGACAACTCTTTGGAGTTTGACATTGAGTGATTTATCGCTCATGAATATCTTAATATTGGTATAGATGACCTGTCTTTTATCGGACTAGAGAAGAAATTAGTAAAAATTCGCGTAAACTGATCCGAACAACCTAGACCGTTGAATGAAAAAAATAAAATTATGGCCAGCTGTGCAAACAACCAACACCTCCACTACAACAAGAACGACAACTACTGCATATACAGTTATATTTCCAAACTTATGAAGTATGAATAGTTTGTTAAAGTCCACATTTTCATATTAGATAAGATACACGTCAATTATTTTAAAATACATAAGGGATACATGTCATACATACCCGAAAATAAACAAAAATATGTGAACATTTCACATATGTTTTTATACACAAAGTAATATGTATAATCTCTAATTTAGTTTTTACCCTTTTTTTATGACATCACATTCATTTCAATACATAAGCAACTTCATATGACTTTGAAGATACATGATCTTATATCACATGTTAAAAGAGTATAAAATGAATTAATTATACTACATACGACAATAAATACTCTTGCGCAAACCAACTAAATAAGTTTTGGTCTTTATTCTTTTAATTATTCACATTTACTTTATCAATATCATGATGAGCCTTTTTTTTTTTTTTTGAATGGTTATTATAATGAGGTTGAATATACCTTTTTGAAAGTAAAATAAAAAAAAAAACTAATTTTGTTTATTATAGACATATCTCGGTGGTATTTGAAATTTTATCTATTATTAGGTATTAATAAATATCATGTAGTAGGTGATATTATTTTTACTAAGTTAAGTATTAAAAATGCAATGACTTTATTATCCTTACAAACTTAGAGTCACACCGTCATATAAAAATTACATATTAGGTAAATTATTTCCTTTAATATTTGTTTTGTCATTTTTAATTTAGTACCATATACTATTACTTAATTTAAACATAGATTTGCTATTATAATTATAGATTTATATATTATCTCAATCTTGATCTAAACTTGTTATACAAGAATAAGATTAAATAATACTCTTATTAACACCATTTAATGATTTGGATGTGCACTAGTTATCTAATCCTATTCTTTATTTGTACATGAACCAAAGATACTCTTAATGTAAACTTAGTCAGGTCGTTCAAACATGTAATGTAAAAATGAATAAACAATCCTTACCTCCCAATAATTGAATGAAGAATCCTCCTACAAGTCTTCGGGTTTTGTCTTCTCCTTGGTGAGCATTGAATCATGTAGAAAATGCTCCCCTTGACCATGGACGTGAAACAAACAGAAATTCTGTATATAGAATCGAATCATCATCCATTATGTTACATTTGTATATTCATATTATAAGGAAGATTGGTTGCCATATTATTTACTTCTATGTACAGTATGACTACTAGTCTACTACCAAAATCAAATTTGCTCCATAATAAACTTCTGATTTTTTTTAACGAAAGCGTACAACTGACATACAATTTGTCTCTGCATGGTAGGAATTTGACGCGGTGGTTGGTGATGTGGCGATAATATCCAGCAGATATAAATATGCAGAATTCACACAACCCCACACTGAATCCGGACTGGTAATGATAGTCTCTGTGCGATCCCAATCGAGCAACAAAGCTTTATTATTCATGAAACCCTTCACAAGGGCAATGTGGTTTCTTATAGTTTTTGTGAATGTCTACAATGGCTTTGTGATATGGATGATAGAGCGACCTCACTACGCTGAAGTTAGAAGCTCGGTGATGAATCAAATAGGAACCCCGCTTTGGTTAGCTTTTGGCACATTGTTCTCTTTAAATGGTAACCCTAAACTCAATGTTCTATCTTGAAACCTCTATTGAAAGAACTCATCAGTCTGTAGCAAAAATTATATATACTAGCATCCGACCCTATGTGATGCACGAGTCATTCTCTTCTCTTTTCAATATCTTTTTTAACCATTTGCTCTCTCCCACCTATTATTTTATAAATTAATAATTTTTTTTTGGGAATTATTGGATTACAAAATTTGATGTTCAAAAAAAGTTTAAATAAATGGTGGTTAGAGAGAGTTTATGGGTAGTCATTAGATGCATCTGGTAGAATATGATTGCTGAATGATCAAGTTAATAATTTAAAATTCTTAAAATTTAGAAAAGTGGGATGGGCAGGTTGACAAGGCTCAACATAAATGATAAAACTTTGAGGCTCAGATTACACAGTTCATGTGAATTCATTTTCACTTAGGGATGTACCCAAATTTCACAAGAGATACACAACTCAAGCCACATTCGGGTATGCTTGGTTTATAATTGAGTTAAGCCCGATTTAAGTAATTTGATTGGGTCTGGAGCACTTGAGTTTTATCTAAATTTAAATTGGATTGAGATTTTTTTTGTCCAAACCCCAGTATTGTATTGAAAATCTTTGTTCTAGTATTGAATATTTTGGGTTGGCTTTGGATTTGCACCCCTGTCATGACATTGGTTGATTTCGTTTGGGGATAGGGGAAAAGCTACATAGCAGCTTGTCAAGGATAGCAATGGTGGTCTGGCTGTTTGTGGCAGTAATCATCACACAAAGCTATACGGCAAACCTCACCAGCATGCTCACTATCCAGCGGCTCGAACCAACAGTAGCAGACATTGAGACACTGAAGCATAGCAATGCCTTAGTGGGGTATTCAAGGAAGTCGTTCGTGGTGAATTACTTGGTGGATGTTTTGCATTTTAACACACAGAATTGCAAAAACATTTCAACAACAGAAGAATTTGCTCTGGCCCTCAGAAGTGGGAAAATAGCAGCTGCCTTTCTTGAAGTTCCTGTGGCCAAACTCTTCCTCGCTAAATACTGCAAAAGTTTTATTACAGCAGGACCAACATACAAAGTTGGAGGATACGGATATGTAAATCAACCTCTCTTCTTTATTCTATTACTGTTTTTGTTTTGGCATTCGGTTTATTATGAATATAAAGGTTGTCTGCACGTTGGGTTGAAACCCCACAGAAATCTGGGGTAGGTTGGGTTTCCCTGTTGCCGGCCCTTAAACTATCCCATGTGCATCGAATGAAATATGGCAAAATTCGATGACAGATTTAAGAGCTCAAAATCAGTACAATTGAAACAAGTACCACTTGGGAATTCATAGCTTAAGCATTCAATATTGCCCCACATAGAATTAGATTATGATTGACGAGTTTCTCATTCACTGTGCTGCAGGCATTCCCAAAGGGTTCTCCGATGCTTCCCGACATAAATCAAGCATTACTGAAGGTCTCTGAAAGCGGTGCACTACATGAACTGGAGAGGAGTATGACAAGATCTGAGAAGTGCTTGGATGAGGAATCAGATAAAGAAAACGTTAGTCTAAGCGCCAACAGCTTTTGGGTACTCTTCGTTTTCACCGGCGGTACTTCAACGACAGCTCTAGCTATCTATATCATTCGCAGCAAGTGGAAACTTGAAAATTCTATCTTTCAACTTGGAAGCATTTGGATGGTAATATGGATTGTACTTAAACACTGGGAGAGTAAGAGGAGTCGATTTTCAAGAAGAGTTAGCCCTGTAGACACTCTAGCAGATGGTCCATACGCATTGGATTCCTGGACTCAGGTTTAGACATTCAAGACTATGGATCATCCTTCTTCCACCACTGAAATTGTAAATAGGCTAAAACAATCACAGCAGATCAAATCGGTTGTAGAAAATAATCCAACCAGTGTTAGGGTACTTAGTCGTGTTATTTAATAAACTAAGCAGCCACATGTTTTGATAATAACCTAGTAGTGTCCTCAAAGTTACAAGGGGCCTAATGGGTTTACACTCTTCTCTTTTATCATTAGTTAGGATAACTCATAAGTTGAGATTGGGATAGGCTTTATATTCTTCATCAAACTCTTGTTTTATATATAGAGGAGAGATGCATACAGAAAATACAACAAAAATTCGTCACTTTCTTTCTTCTCTAAGATTTCCTTCTATAAAAATCACCACCTTGAATAGGTTTTGTGGGTGTGGGTGCTTAGAGGACTATGATAGCTATAACAGTCAAGCTAATTAACGGTCAAGGCTCTTCAAAAAAAACGGATACAAGTAAGACTCATTTAGCAAGTTGATTCGATCTGATTTTGCACGTCAAGAGGGAACCAGTGTATAACCTCTCTTTCTAACATTGGTATTAGAGCTATATTGCTTGCTTTCCCCTATAAATAACATGCATGATGATTACAAGTGTTATATCATGCTTATCAATGAATAATTGAACCTAGTTTTTGAGTTTTTACTTGAAATGGGTGTATACTTTTTCATGTGATTTAGGCCAAATTTTTTGTATTAATATGATCCTTATATCCTTGTTAGCATGTCTACAAAATTTGGGGACTTAAAAAAAGTGCCATTTGGTAGAAAAAGAAAATTCTATTTTTCAGAACTACGTTGGATCCGATTTTTCCATCCAAATTTCATCACATTAAATCTATTTTTTATGTAACAAAAATTATATGGTTATAAAGTTCGTTGTAAGAACTTTCCAACAGTTATTTGTATCAAACAGATTTTTGTAGTGAGAGATATAGTCATGCAAAATATGCATATCAAACAAGATTTTTCTGCAACTCACAGCTTAATGAAGAAGATGAATAGTAACCTTCACATACCTATGGGCGTTTGAGCTTTCACCCCAATCTCGTATAGTGTACAAACCACCATTACTCAATTTCTACCATTGCAAGAAATCAAAAAATGGGGTGTACGTCACTCTGTCTACAAGAAATAATACTCAAGTAGAGAAACATTTTGCTGGTAAAACCAAGAATTTCTCTGGCACAAACTTGTAAATATGAAAAATCTTCCCTGGTTGTTTCGCTTCTGCAAGCTCGTTGTTGTTAATAACTAGCAGAGAAAGGGAGGTTCACAACTCTTTGTTTAATATTTGCAAATAAAATTGCACTGGCAAAAAATTGATTTAGCAACAAAAAATACAAATAAATAAAACTCAATCCAACATAATTGCCAAAGAAGAATTTTGTGTTGAAAAAATAATAATAAACATGAATTTTATTGTTCTAAGAGTTATTTTTATGCATTTAATTTTTTGTATTAGTGGATCATCAATTTGGTATTAGTGGGGGGACAACATAATTGTGGTATGTTAATTCTCCAAGTAATAGAAGAGTGGAGTCTTTATTAAATTTTTATTATTGCATTATGAAGTGGAGTTATATTATATGTTATGTGTTATATATGAGAGTCTATATATATCCTATGTAATACATAAAAAAAAAAAATTTTCTTTTTCGGAATCTAGAGGACTATCACACACTAACAACAAATATAATGGAAGAGACTATTGAAGAGAGGAAGAACTCTTTCTATTCCCTCTTCAATAGTCTTTTCTATTATATTTGTTGTGAGTGTGTGATAGTACTCTAAATTCTAACAAAGTGGTGTCAGAGTTAGGCTTGAGTGTTGAAAAAGAGAGAGTAAGAGAGAGATGACGAATGAAATGCTTTTATTTTAAATGTCTCGATTCACCAAAGATAACTATGAGAATTAATATATCCGTATGAAGACAATTCTTGGATCTCAAGACTTATGGGAGATTGTAACAATTGGTTACACAGCACTGCAAGATGAAACTTCCTTAAGTCAAGCATAAAAGGAAGTCTTGCAAGCTACAAATAATAAGAATCAAAAGGTTCTTTCACTCATCCATCAATGCTTGGGTAATGCTATATTATAGAAGGTTGCTAGTGCAACCACATCATAACAAATATGAGATGTTCTGAAAACCGCTCATAGTGGAGTGAAAAAAGTCAAAAAAGTTCGCATCCAAACTCTACGAGGTGAATTTGAGGCTTTACGTATGAAAGAATTTGACTTAGTTTCAAATTATTCACAACCACAAAGATTCTTGTGAAATAATCCAAAACTAATTCGGATTTCTTCATACGTAAAGCCTCAAATTCACCTTGTAGAGTTTGAAAGCGAATTTTCTTGACTTTTTCTCCTCCACTATGAGTAGTTTTCAGAACATCCCATGTTTACTTAGATGTGGTTGCACTAGCAGCCTTCTGTAACATAGCATCATCCAAGCATTGATGGATGAGTGACAAAACCTTTTGATCCTTCTTCTTTGTAGCTTGTAAGACTTCCTTTTGGGCTTGACTTAAAGAAATTTCATCTTTCGGTGCTGTGTAACCAATTGTTACAATTTCCCATAAGTCTTGAGATTCAAGAATTGCCTTCATGCGGATGCACCAATTCTCATAGTTATCTTTGGTGAATCGAGATATTTGAAATTGACGCATTCCATTCGCCATCTCTCTCTCTCTCTCTCTCTCTCTCTCTCTCTCTTTTTCAACACTCAAGCCTAACTTTGATACTACTTTGTTGGAATTTAGAGGACTAGCACACACTCACAACAAATATAATGGAAGAGACTATTAAAAAGTGAATAGAAAGAGTTCTTCATATCTTCAATAGTTTCTTCCATTATATTTGTTGTGAGTGTGTGATAGCCCTCTAGATTCCAACATTTTGGACATCAACATGACACTTCATATACGAAGTCTACAAATTGCACCATTAATCCACATGTTACATTCACCAGGACAAAATAAAAAAAAAGTTGCTTGATTGTTTTTGAAAAAAAGAATACAGGACAATGAAAAAATTAGTCCTTAATGTAAATAAAAGTGGCATAGAGCAAAATAACTCCTTTTTGTTCTCTTTCATTCTCCTTATCATTCAAAAATGCCAGAAAAATAGTGATCCATGTATGCAACAGTGGACTTTCCCAATAGATATGTGCTCAACCAGTAAAAAATCTTTAGCCTTCAGTTGAAGTAGTTTGCCAAACTCGAGTAGGTAATCCTAAAAACAGTAAAATGATTGCATACAATGACATTTTAAGGAATTTGAAAAATTAAGTCTTAATTTGTGAATAAGCTCAAAGAAAATGGACTAAGGCAGTAACTTCATCATTACAACCAATAATTCATCATTACAACACTCCAAGTATTCTTTTGAATTAATTTATCCTAGACTTACAATATCTTCCCGTTATGACTCATGTATGTCCTTCATCATAATAACCACATCAGGTTTCTGCATGAATGCTTAGGCGTTTTTTTTTTTTTTTTTTTCTAGAGGGTCAAGCACAATGCTAAGCTCAAATCAGAGTACGCACTTTCTAAGTTAAAAATCAGTACAGTTAAAAAGAAAAATATACTTCTAGAAGAGGAATCAATTTCCTTTCCAACCAAAAAAAATAAAAATGAATAAATTGTAAAGAAATTAAGCCCATCATATCTATCTCAAGCATAATGTAATGTCAATCTACCAAAGGAATCAAACCCCAGCTTGAGCCTAAATAGGTTCCATAATTTCTATTCACATGTTTAATATACTTAAACATAGTCAATTAAAAAATTAACATGAAGGTGGAGGTGTGGGGAATCCACGAATATGTAATAGACAAAGTGAAAGTAGTTTATAACCAAACAAAACCAATCCAAACCTTATGTCCCAATCATTTGAGGTCGGTTATATGAGTCTGTCTTTACCATTTATTTCGATCATGCGCTATACGCTTATTTAAGTTAAAATATTTTTATATCCTTTCTTATTATTTTGTTCAATGTTAATTTAGGTCTACTCCTACTTCTGGTACCATTAAAAGATATTATCTCACTTTTTTGAACTAATGCTTCTATTAGCATCCTAGAACATTACCAAACCATCTTAACATATTTTCTCTTAATTTATCCTCCATTGGAGCTATTCCTACCATTTCTCTAATATAGTCATTTCTTATTCTATCATTTCTAGCTTTTTCACACATCCACCTTAACATTCTCATTTTCACTGCACTCATTTTGTCACTATGTTGTTTCCTAGTTGTCCAATATTCTATCTCATACAACATTGTTGTCCTTATAGCTGTTCAATAAAACGTACCTTTCAATTTTATTGGTATCCTCCTATCACATAATATGCCAGAAGCTTTCCTTAACTTAAATCACTCGGCGCTGATTTTATGAGTTACATCATCTCCAATTTCTCCATCATTTTAAATGATCGATCCCAAATATCTAATTGTTTATTTGTTGGTATTTCTTGATTTTTAATTTTAATTTTTCACTATGTCTACTTCTTTTATTACTAAAATTGTATTCCATATATTAAGTCTTACTCTTACTTATTTTAAACCCTTTTGACTCAAGTGTCTCTCTCCAAATTTTTAACTTATTGTTAATACAATATCATTTGCAAATAGAATACACCGTGGGACATCATCTTGAATATGCCTTGTGAGTTCATCCATAATTAGGACGAATAGGTATGAGCTTAGGGCCGATCCTTGGTGTAATCCCATCATGATTGAAAATTCTTTATTTTCTCTCACGAAAGACCTAATTGTTGTCATAGCCCCGTCATACATGTCCTTTACCACTTCAATATACCTATTCGTCACTCTTTTTCTCTTAAGCCCCCTCCATATTATATTTCTAGGTACTCTATCATACTCATTTTCTAGATCTATAAATACCATATGAAATTTTTTTTTCTTCTCTCTATACTTTTCTATGAGTGTCCTCAATAAATATATAGCCTCC